CACCTAGATAGTTCACCAACAAGTATGCTAGGTGCTGTTGAAAACCTAGTTAAAGGTGCGACTACTATTGCGCATGAGTTGGTGTTAGTCAAGAAACGGGTCTCTAAGCTTGAAGCAGCGAATGAAGCCGCCACGCGAAGGAGATCACACAAAAGAAAGCGGCTACAGAAAGGAGAGACCCTAACGATTAAAGAAGGAGAGAAACTGGCAACTCTAAAGGAGTCTGGGGCGCGTGGTAGTGGGAAGAAGGCAAAGAAGGGAGAGAGCGCTGAAGTAGGCGAACCGTCGCAAAGGCGCTGTAGACGCTGCGGTGAGACTGGACACAACTCGCGCACCTGCAAGCAAGATAAAGAGGTTAATTCTGAATAGATTAGCCTTTTCTAATTTCAATTTACTGTTGTTGTTGCGCTGTAATGGTTGCGCAACGGTGGTGAGGTTGATGGGGGCTTGGCATTTTCGGTCACTCGCTATTCTCGGCCACTCGCTATTCTCGGCCACTCGCTATACTTTGACGTTATATAATTTAAAGTAATATCTCTTATTCTTTAAGAAAAAACATAAATGTCCTGTTAGCTAGGGCGTCACTACTTATTATTAGTAATCTAATGTAATCGGCGAGGTAGAAAACTTAGCTAAGCTAATAACCCTAATAATATGGGTATCAGCGCTATAGTAAAAATAGAGTACATGGGATAAACTTGTAGCTAATTCTAGAGCCATCCGGCTTACCCTTGGGGGAAAACATTTAGTAAGGTTTCTGCTTATACTTTGATCTTATTAAGCTTAAGTCACACTACCATCATCTCGTATGGATGACTTTTCTTGCTACTTTTGGCTGGCGGATTACTCTCTTGGGCAAACCTAGTGATTGCCATGAACTGTAGGGTTCCATAGCACTTCTTCACTTCTCTGAATTTTAAGGGTATACATGTATAGATATCGGCTTCCATTGCTTCTATGTCAAGCTCACCTGGCGACGAGATTACGATATCTAGATTTTTTTCCCTTGTCGTATTGTCCTCTCATGCTGCACGCAAGTAAAGCTCTCTAGATTCTATACAGTGGGACTCTTGTCTGTGCAACAGCCTCGAAGGAACCGTGAAAGCCTCGATGAATTCGTCGCTTTGGTATACTGTGATGATTCAATGGCTTGACGGGGCTATGCCGCTGGGATGGTTGCGTTTGATGGCAAAGTTTATTTACAAAAAAAAGAAACTTCCACGGATGCATACATCCTACTTGGTGTTATTAATCCGTTAATACACATGGTTTACAATTAAGTCAGAGAGTGCATGGGATTTACATAAAAGATGGTTAGCAGCTCGTGGCAAATGACCAATGGGATTGTCTCGCTCCAGCATACAAGGTATAACATGCGTAATGATATCTCCATTACGTGTGTTGATGCCCGAAGAAATACGGTGCTGCCCCTTCTGATCAAGCAGGTACATGCCAGGTTGAGCAGAAGACCGGATATCCGCTGTCGATAAAAAAGGCAGAATAATTCAATCATGCTTCATTCTCAACTTGAGCAAAGAAAATCTAAGATACAGTTCGCATTGCCTTGATCAATATGGGAGTAATGCCCAAACTCCCCAAGAGTCCAGACCACAGTGTTTTTCTTTCGAGACAAGAGTATATCCGATACATTGCCCGAAATATCATTTCATCCATTGGCGCCGCTAGCCTCGTCCGTCGTGTCAAGTCAACGCCCAATGAAAGTAAACATCCCAGCCTGGATCATCAAGTTCGTTACACAAAAAATGCAAAAACTTTGTTTCAGACCAAGGAGCGTGTGCTCAACGAGTGAATGATCTAGGCCACACAGCAATGAAAAAAGAAAGAAAGGAAAAACAAAAATTATTCAAAAGTTGAGTGGTTTTACTCGAACTGGTATCAGACATGTGCGCCGTAACCACCGATCCATGCAAAAAAAATTTGGTAGCGAGAACAATCAGCCAGCGAGCTTGTTGTCCTTGGGCAGTCGCTGCAAGGCTGCCTCAACATCCTTGTGATCAACAACGACGCCGCTTTCAGAACAACGGGCCTTGGCACGAAGCTCTGAGCACAAATTGTCGATATCGATGGTGCCATCCTTGAAGTCTGGGCGACTTGAGAGCTTGTCCCTGTATGGTGTTAGCTGGTTGTTGGTTAGTATGTTGGCAAAGTGCACTGACCAAATCTTGTGGCAGTTGAGAAGCGAGTTGACATCCTCGCCTGGAACCACCTCGTCATCGCCATCCTGTCCATCCTGCGCACGTTCAATCTCCTCGAGAGGGTTTGGCTTTTGTACAGCGGGCGTGTCGCCAAAGTGGAAGGGACTGCCGTAGCCCGTGTTGAGGAAAGCATCATTGAAGAAGCCACCAGTGAAATCGCCGTCGCCGACAATGGCGTTTTGAGTATCTCGGTACTCTCCAAAGAGCGTGGGATCGAATTGACCGCCGTTTTGGGTCGCGAGGTAGTCGATGCCGCTGAGGGCAGGCGTGGGTGATTTGGTGGATAAGACTGCGGGAGAAGGTTTGTCGTCAGACTGGGACATTGCACGAGGCATGGGATTACGAGGATTGCCGCAGGCCATGTTGAGTTTTTCGCAGAAGAGCACCTCACCTTCGGAATTTCCATGACAAACATAACCGTCTGTAATTGTGTCCGTCTGCTGGTTGGGCGAGGTGTGACTTGGTTCTGGCGATGTTCCACATGAGGAATTTTGGTTGGTGGGCGACGTCGACGACGTCGACGGCGAGTCTGAATGAGTAGACGACCCGCTGTTGAACTGGAACACACGGGATTGCGAGCCGATGGAGCTTTCGGTGTTGCTACGGGCGCTGCCTTTGTTTAATGTGCCCGAGTTGAAACCAAAGAAGCCGTTCAAGCTGCCCGAGCGCTGAGTCTTGTTCCCCGTATCGATTGGGGCGGGAGAGTTGGTGGTGGAGCCGCTGGCTCTGCTGGACGGGCTGAGGACGGATCCGGTACTGTTTTGTCTTCCTGATACACTGGATGAGACTGATGGGTTCTTGTTCTTGGCCAGCGGGCCGTTGTCCAGCAGCTGGGTGCCTGGAAGATTGCCAAATCGTGGGAACTCGAAAGAAAAGTTATTGTTTCCATTGGTGTTGAGCATGGAGCTGAAGCCTCCAGCGAGAGGAGCGTTGCGGATTAGGCCGCTGCTGTTCATGGACAGGCGTTTGCGGTACTCTCGGAGCTCCATTTGCAGCCTTTGCACCTGCGCTCGCAGCAAACCGTTTTCGTGGTTGGTGGCGTCAGAAGCCTTTTCGAGTTCCTGGACCTTGGTCTCGAGATCCTTCAGGTGCTTCTCCTTGCGTTCTCGGAATGCGCGTTGAGCGGCACGGTTCTGGGCCTTGCGCTTCTGTGGCTAGAGTTAGTTGAGCGCGTCGAAGTGTCCCCTGCTGATACCTACCGTTGTGGGCTCCGAAGTCAGTGGCTTGCGACCCGGCTTCTTGGCCTGCTTGTCTTCACCCTCGCGGCGCTTGCCTCCTCCTTCGTCGTCGTCGGCATTCTCGTCGCCCGGGCTCTTCCGCTTCTCGCTCGAGTCGGCGGGGGTGTCGCCAGGGAGCCCGCCAATCATATCGCCGTCGGGAGTGTCAAAGTCGAAGGCGTTGTCGCCGTCGAGGTAGTCGATAAACGGGCTTTCTTCCATGGCGACATTGTTGAAGTTATTGGTGGCGGTGGATTGTTGGGGCGAGGTGAAGTAAGCGGGGTCCAGGAACTGGGCAGCGTCCATGGGTTGCTTGTTATCGTTTCCATTTTCGAGACCCGCCGAGAAGAGATCGGCCGTATTCTGGCTGTTGGAGGCAAGGGCGGCCAAGAGGAGGTCTTGCTGGGTGGCGTCCAGGTAGAAGGGCGCACCGTTGGGGAAGTCGTTGGTGGAGCCGGCCATTGCGAAGGCAAAGGGGAGGGGAGTTGCGAAAGGCCGTAGCGAGTGGTCCGGGGCGTGGGGCGGTGCAGACGTGCAGAGGGTACGAGGGGTCGCCAGGCAAATGGAAGGCAGAGGTGCGACAACAGCCTTTGGCGCGCGGGGCCAGGGCGACTGCGGAGAGGGGCAGGAGCCGATTGTGTGTTTGCGTGTGTGTGTGTGTATGTATGTGTGTATGACGCAAAAAAGAGTCGAGGTATGTAATAGGTGTAGAGCAGCGCGGTGGCAGCGTGCACGGTGGATCAGGCGGGAACGATTGCCGGCAAACGGCCGCTGAGCAGGTTAGAAAGGGCCGAAGTGAGGGCGAGATGGACGTGGTTCCGTGCGAGTGGCGCAGGCGATGAGAGGGACACGGGGGAAAGCGGACGAGGCCAGGAGGGAGAGCGGTATTGGTATCGTGGTGCGGCGAGGACAGAGAGGACGAGGAGGAGCAATGGGGCTAGACAAGGCCGGGAGGGCGAGAGGATGGGGGGGGGGGGGCAGAGAGGGCTTGGTAGGGCAGGGCACCCTTGCGGGCCGGCTAAGGCGACTTTTCTCAACGCCGCGCGTGGGCGTGTCGAGGCGCGGCGGACAAGAGGAGAGGGCAGCAGAGGACACGCGAGGGATGTCACTGGCGGGTGTTGTGGCAGTACAGTATGTGGTTGATGGGATTAGCCAGAGGGGAGGGAGGGAGGGTGAGATTGTGCGGCGGCGGCGGCGGCGGACGAAAGTGGCCGTGAGACGGGCGGGCAGGCGGCGTGAGCAAAGGGCGCAGCCGCCGCCGCAGCAAAGGCGCGGTGCGGGCGTGGGAAGCCTGGGGTTGATTGATAAGCCCTGGGTGGGGTTGGGGCAGAGAAGGCCATCGAAGATAACAGTCACAGTCACAGTCACAGTCACAGTCACAGCAGCCATGACGGCCGCAGCCCGTGTAGTGTGTACATGGACATGGTGCGTGTTAGCATTCTTCTTCTTCTTTGGCGGCATGCGCGCCCGCTGCTGCGATGGAGGCGGAAATAATATGCGTGCAGGGCCGAAGCAGACGCGGCCAGGCACCAGCCGCCGCCGCCTTAGCATGAAACCGCTCGCCATGCCATGCCATGCCAATGCACCTCTTGCGGCGACGAACAGCGTGGCTCTGCCGAGTCTCTGGTGTCACGTCGATTACCAGTCTACACTACGTACTTACATGCTGCATGCACATGTATCGCTGTACTTATATTCTGTCATGTCCGGTGCATCCATTCCCTCCCACATAGCGCTGATCGGCCACGACGCGGAGAACAAGGGTTCGCGCAGTGGGGCGCTGCCAAGACCCGAGCCTGCCTTTCCAGGCGTCATCCTCAGAACGCGACTTCCTCACCTGACGACCACCTCGACAACAGCAACAACAACAACCACCACCACCACGCCCCGCACATTCACGCGTCCCGCCGCAGCCATGGCCGACCACGTCAAGCAGACCAAGAACGCCATCAACGCCAAGAAGCAGGAGATTGCCCAGGAAGAGGCCCAGCGCGCAGAATGGGCCGACCAGCTGGCCCAGATGGATGCCCTGCTGCACGACGCGGGCGCATCCGACGACATGAAGGCCATGCGCGCCGAAATGGTCGACTCGATTGCTGCCCACGATGCCAAGCTCGACCGCCTGCGTCCCGAACTCGCCGCCCTCGAGGCCCAGCTTCCCCACGCCCCGCCGCCCGCTGAGTCTGCCGGCCCCAAGTTCGACCCGGAGAAGCACCCCGTGCTGCGCAAGGCCATGGAGAAGCAGGAGCCCGACAAGGCCGTCAGCTTCAGCATTGGAGACATGTGCGAGGCCCAATGGACCGACCGAGCCTGGTACAAGGCCAAGATCCAGAGCATCCTCGGGTCCGTCTCGGCCCCCAAGTATCTCGTCCGCTTCATCGAGTACGACGACACCATGACCGTCGACCGCGCCGCCGTGCGTCCCCTCGCCACCAAGCGCAAGCGCGAGCCCGAAGCCGCCGCCGCCCAAGCCCAAGCCACGGCCCCTTCGGCCCCCGCCACGTCGACTTCGCACGTCATTTCTGGCCCGGCCACCCTGAACCCCAACGCGCAGCCTGCCCAGAACAACGGTGCGCCCGAAGACATGGCGGCGAAGAAGCCCAGCCGCGTGCCCACAAAGGGCACGCTGAAGAAGAGGGCGTCTGCCTGGGCCGATTTCCAGAGCAAGGTATCCAAGAAGGGCATTGCCAAGAAAGAGTCCATGTTCCGCACCAGCACTGAAGCCGGCAGCCGAGGTGAGCATTTGCCTTTCTCGCTGCGCTTGCACGGCCTCGTCGCTAACCACCAGCAGTCGGCTTCACGGGCTCTGGCAAGGGCATGACTGAGACGCACAAGCGTCAACGCTACGACCACAAGGCCGACGCCGACAAGGACGACGACTACCCTGCCTAGCCTACGCACCCTCGGCGCCTCTGGTATGTAACCATGTCCTCCACCATGTCTCCATGTCTGAATCTCTGGCTTACATTGCCCTTTGGCCGACATCAGACCTAGACACATCCAGCCCATGTGGCTGCATACAGAACCCGCACCTGGTCGAGCCTTGCCGCTCGGTCCCCCCCTTTGGCCCAGATGGTCCCTTGCTGACTTGAAGCAGGCCTCGTCGCATACATGGCTTCCCCCATAGCACCCGTGCATCGTGGCGGCGTTTGCGGCATCTGCATATTCTTGGTATGATCTTGCTCGGCACACACTAGCTACCTGTCGGGTCATGTCACTAAGCACGATGCGCTCGATAGGCGTTCGATACTCTCGCAAAAACGCCTGTCCTGGCGGCGACGATGGCGCTGTTTGCCGCCTTGACGAGACGTCGAGGCGTCAGGTAAGACATTCCCCGGTATATTATCTATTCCCGTGTGCCTGTCGCGCACAGGGGCCACGGCCACGGCTCGTGTGCGTGCTTTGCTTGATCTTGCTTGTTATGTACATAGCTGCGGATAGTCTGAAAATGTGATGCATGCCTTGATTTGATTGCATGTGCTGTGGTGAAATGCGTGGTGCTTCTGCACATGCCCTGCCGGCTGCCCCGCACCCTCTCGCGTCGAGTCCGGGCGGCCACTTCACCCCCACGCCCCCAGCCCCAAGGCCGCATGTGCGTGTGCATGTGCATCGTTCGCGACGCGACAGTCAACAAACAAGCCCAAGGCATGTCGCAGCGCCATTCCAGCCCCACTGCATTGCCACACGCGCATTCACCATGGAGGCGGATTGGGACGAGGTGCGGCTCTACCACGACGATGCAGGGCAACCACATGGTGGCTGACAGCTCGACAGCTAGCAATCGTCCAACTCCCACCCCCCGGGCCACATCTCCCGCCCGTGCCCATCTCGACCTTCGCCTTCGACACGACCCAGGAGCTGCTGTGGACAGGCAACAACCATGTGAGTACGTTCGCACGCGGCCGCCCTGCCGTGCCTGGTGGCTGACGATGCGCCAAGGGCCGCGTCACGTCCTTTTACGGCCCTCACCTCGAGCGATACACGTCCTATCGAGGACACGCACCTCCCGACGGGCCCGTCAAGCAATTCCTCTTCTCCGACAAGGGCATCCTCTCCGTCGCCAAGCAGAGCGTCCACTACTCGCACCGCCGCGGCCTCACCCACTGGCACCTGACGTATGTTGCCACCACCCCATGCCGGGGCTGCACCAGACGAACCGCAGTTGACAATCTCTGCACAGAAGCCCCGAGTTCAAAGACCTGCGATGCATGAACTTCACCTCCAAGGGCACCCGCGAGATTCTCGTCGCCGGGTGCCAGGATCACATGTTCAAGGTGGACGTCGACAAGGGCATCATCACAGATACGGCACGTCTCATGCATGCTCACAACGAACACGGCTGACCGCTTGCAGCTGCCTGCCGACGCCCAGTATACCATCATGAAGCGCGCCGGCCAATATCTCTGCGCTGCCACCAAGAACGGCGGCATCCACATCATCGATTCCAACTCGCTGTCCGTCATCAAGGTCTTTGAAGGCCACACAAGCAGCATCAGTGACATGGACGCAAAGGGCGATTTTCTCGCAACATGTGGCTGGTCGCCTAGGCAGCAATTCGCCTTTATGCTCGACCCCTTTACAAACGTCTTTTCCCTCAAAACGCTGAAACAACTACCTCCAATCCCCTTCCATACCGGTGCAGCCTTTGTTCGCATGCATCCCCGCATGTCCACTACAGCATTTATAGCCTCGCAAAACGGTCAGATGCAGGTCATTGACCTTATGAACCCAGACTCGGCGAACCTGAGGCAGCTGAATCTCTACGAATCCTATCTGACTGGCTTCGAGATGGCGCCGTCTGGCGAGGCCGTGGCATTGGTCGACTCCAACTCCCATCTCCATCTATGGGGTTCTCCGGCAAAGGTCCACTTTCCAGAATACAGCAACCCAACAGAGACTGCAGACCACAACATTCCACCACCCCCGACAATGGATTGGAATCCGGATACGTGAGTCGACTCGACAGCAGTGTTGTGCTTTACTGACCATGGGACAGCCCATTGAATACAGTCGGCATGCCCTACTACAAGGAACAACTGCTCTCAAGCTGGCCAAGTCATCTGGTCTTTGAAGTCGGCGCCCCTCCCCCAAAGATTGACAACGCAATACTCAACAACATGACGCGCGCTGAGATTGGCTTCTTTGCCAAGAATCCAAAAACAAAGCGTAGAAATCAGGCTGAAGCAACGCGGCACGTGGACAGAGTGAGCGAATCACTGTCCGCGCCCAAATTCCTGAGCGAAAAGACCCGGGCTTCGCAGTCCTTGACGGAACCCGACTCAAAAGTTACCGAGACAATGGAGACGCTGACTGATCTGCACCTCGACGACGTGACTAGGAGAGATGTGCCTGCCATGTATGGAAATGTCGAGATCAAGTACAGCAAGTTTGGTGTCGACGACTTTGATTTTGCGTATGTCTTGTTCCCACGGTGCTTTTCCATGACCTAACACAATCTAGGTACTATAATCAGACATCTTACTCTGGCCTTGAAACGCACATTACCAACTCGTACGCCAACTCACTGTTGCAGATTCTCCGCTTCACGCCATTGATCCGAAACCTGGCGCTCCAGCATACTGCATCTCCATGCCTCTTTGAGTCTTGTCTTCTCTGCGAGCTGGGCTTCCTGATAGACATGCTTGAGAAAGCTGCTGGGCTCAACTGCCAAGCTTCCAACTTTCTCAAGACGTTCAGTGGGCTTTCAAACGCCGTTTCATTGAATTTGCTTGAAGAGTTTGCCCCAAATGTGGCCCTCGCAAACATGATTCAGAACCTGAATCGCTTCCTGCTGGAGAAGATATCGGACGAGTTCCGGCAGATGCTGCCCAGCCACCCTGGACCATCCGCAATGGACCAGGTTCTGGAGACGCAGGCCAGAGCAAGCATGCGATGCGCACAATGTAACAACGAGACGATCCGCGGGGGTAAAAACTTTGTCAATGAGCTCGTGTACCCTGCCAAGCATGTCATGAAGAATACTCGGATACCACGCCCTACATTCTCGCAGATCCTAAAGGCCAGCGTCGAGCGACAAGACCAGACTAGGGGTTGGTGCACAAAATGCAATCGCTACCAGCAAATGGTACAACGCAAAACCATACAGTCGATTCCTGGTGTGTTGATGTTGAACGCAGCTATTCAGAGCCATGAGGCGAAGCTGCTGTGGTCCATACCCAACTGGCTGCCACAAGAAATCGGCATCATAGTAGATCAGGGCCAATTCTTCTGCTTCGAGGGTCAGGACTTGAAGCTCCACCTTCAGCGTGGCGTGCATCAAATCATGGTGTACGAGCTTGTCGGTGTCGTTGCGGATATCAATAGCGGAGAGCACCAGAAACCGCATCTGGTGGCGACCATCAACACGGCGCCGTCATCACGCGAACAAGACCACGAGGACAAATGGCACCTTTTCAACGACTTTTTGGTGAGACCGATACCAAAGGAAGAAGCTCTGCGCTTCGAGCCAAGCTGGAAGCTTCCGTCGGTCTTGACATTCCAGCTAAAATCGGCCCGCAACAAGATTGACGACTCCTGGAAAGACAACCTGGACACATCCATTCTGTATCGCTGGTGGTCATCCAATCCGACACCCGCCGAGTCCAAGTTCAAACTGCTCGACCATGCTGCGGAAGCGCCACGTCCTGGATATCCCGTCGCCATTGACGCCGAATTCATCCGATTGCAAGCCGAAGAAATCGAAATGAAGGCCGATGGCACGCGGCAAACTATTCGCCCTGATCGCAAAGGCCTCGCACGCGTTTCTGTCTGCCGCGGTGAGGGTGAGCATGCAGGCCTCCCTTTTATTGACGACTATATCGCTGTGACCGAGCAAGTCGTGGACTATCTTACAGAGTGGTCTGGCATATCTCCCGGTGACCTTAATCGCGAAACGTCGCCCCACGCGCCCGTCTCCCTGAAGCATGCCTATAAGAAGCTCTGGCTGCTGCTCAACCTGGGCTGCGTGTTTGTAGGCCACTCACTCGCAAACGACTTTCGAACAATCAACATTCACGTTCCCAAGAATCAGGTAGTCGACACTAGCAACCTGTGGTTCAAGCCTGATTTCAAGCGCAAACTGAATCTGAAGTTTCTGGCTTGGTGTGTGTTGAAAGAGAGTATCCAAGAGAAGACGCACGATTCCATCGAGGATGCAACAACGGCACTGAAGCTGTGGCGCAAATGGCAGGAGTTTGAGGATGCGGGCGTCTTGGAGCAGATGTTGAATGATGTATACGCAAAGGGAAGCTTGGTTGGTTTCAAGGCTCCAGGTAGCGGAGGCAAAAATGTCGGAAATAGTGGTCATGGTGCAAAGCCGCCGGCGGGGAGTGCCAACGACACGCCAGAACCCATGACAACACCAAAGAAGGGGGGCAGCCAGTTTGGCAGTGTAGGGTTCCGCAGTCCCCTCCGGCGTTAGCAAGATACAGCGTTCAATGTTATTATTTGTGTTGATAGATTTTACCTTGATCGTCTCCAGCCCCACGTGTAACCACTGTCAATAAAAGCGTCTCAGCTCTTGAAAGTATCAACACATGACTGTACAGACGTTGGTTGTAGTATAACATGATGGAGTATCCACCTTTCCTGTTCACTCTGTATGTCATCGCATTTATGCTTAGCAGATCCATTGATCCATTTTTCTATCAAATGCCTATCGCTCGTCTCTGGAATTCCACAGGGCAGAGAATTTCACAAGCCAAAAGAATCCCACTCCAGTACGCAGGAACTACCATCATACATAGTCCAAAAGCATCTTGCAACTTGTCCCCGGGTGATTTCATAAAATGGCATACTGTCTCCGACGCAAATCTCCAGTGCGGGCTCGGACATGGGTGAAGATTTGCTTGCCAATGGCTATGGCCTAGGTCTATTTGCCCATCATCTTCTCGCAGTACATGAGCTCTAGAACGTGCATGGCTTTGTCATGAGATTTGTATAGCGGTGTGATGCAAAGAATCAGGTTAATTGAACGTAACTTTGATTTTATTGGCGAGATATGGTAAGCTTGGAAGCGACACGTGGGAGATGCCATCACGTATCTGTGAATGAAGGTTTGGTCTGACGCGTCTCGTGGAGTAGCCGATGAGGGTTTGTGGGTATGGTGATGCGCTAGGTGGTGGTTTACAGGGAAAAAGCGTCAGTTAGGTGCTCATACGATAGCACAAAGTTGGAGGGCGAAATTTGGAGACAGTATCCAGGGTCTTGAAAGCATACTACATACGTGCAGAACTAAACAATCTGTATAGATCCAACTCTCCAATAACCGTTTAGTCAAACATAATTTCAAGCCTATCCATCTATCTTAGCAACGTCCTCGAAACGGTATAAACAAGAGCAACAAGTAATCGAATCTACCCCTTCTTCAGAAGCCCCTCTGCAACATCTCTCAGTACAAACTTCTTAATCTTGCCACTGCCGGTAAGCGGCACCTCGGCATCGCAGTCCTCTCCTAGCCAGAAGATGTGAACTGGTGCTTTGTGTCTGCCGAGCACTTTCCTCACCCACGCTTGTACCTCTGGTAGATCTGGCTTGTCTGTGTGTGGCTCGTGGAGGAGAAATGCAACGGGGACTTCGACGTAGCGTGGGTGGGAGACGCCGACGACGATGGCGCGGGTGATGGATGGATGTGCGACGAGTTGTTCTTCGATTTCGAGGGGATAGATGTTTTCACCTCCTGATCGCCGTATGAGTCAGTATGTGTTCATGGCAGCGGGAGTAGAGCAATAAGTAAGACAGACTTACCCCTGATGATGATGTCTTTGAATCGACCAGTAATGGTACAATACCCATCTACGTCCAAGACTGCCTCATCTCCCGTATGAAGCCAGGGCTCCCCATATTCATCATTGATGATGAGTTCAGCCGTCTTTTCTGCATTCTCCCAGTATCCGCGACACACCTGGTACCCGGCGATGCAGAGCTCGCCTCTGACGCCGATGGGTACGACGCGGTCGTTGCGGTCTACAATCTTGACTTTGGCATGGGGCATGACAGTGCCAACGGTAGTCAAGCGCGCATGTAGCAAGTCGGTAGTATGTGCGTTGAACACAGTGGGACTCGCTTCCGTCAATCCATACGAAGATGTAAAATCCGTCATGCCTAGTTCCGATACCATGCGCTCCATGAGCCACTTGGGGACGGGGCTCCCAGCCACAATGCCAGTGCGTAGCTTGCTTTGCCAGCCCGATGGGCGTGGCACGTCCATTATTGACTCCATCATTGCAGGGACGCCATGTAGAGCGGTGCAGTTTTCTGCAGCGATGGCGTGCATGCATGCAACGGGGTCGAAGGCTTCGGCGGGGAAGACAATGGTTGAGCCGTGGGTTAGTACGGCGAGAACACCGAGGGTGAGGCCAAAGCAGTGGAAGAGTGGAGGTGGGCAGCAGAGAGTATCCGAGGGGGTAAGTTGCATTCGGTCGCCTATGAAGCGCGAGTTATTGACAAGGTTGCTGTGAAGTGGCGCACATGTCAGCTAAGTTCCAAGACAGGTGTAGAGGCTGTGGGAAAAGAACTAGAGACGACTCACTAATGTGTCAACATTGCTGCTTTTGGCTTTCCCGTACTTCCACTGGTGAACTGCAAGTTGGCGACGTCGTGAGGGCTGACTATGCCGTCAAAGATGTCGAGGATATGTTCTGGGATGTGGTGCGCATTATCAATAAAGGATGAATATGTAGTGAAGGATTGATGTTGGCCTCGTATGAGGCACACAGCCTTGAGTTCTGGAAGAGCTGAGACTACGTCGTCTCGACTCAGTCTTTCTAGCAGCGGAGTATTGTCAAAACGAACAATGTTGGGCGTAGTGAAGAGGATCCTACACTCTGCTCTTGTTAACGCTCCAGTAGCTTAGACGCAAGATTAGGAAAAATGACATACTCGTATGTCTCAAAGCAAACTCCATCTCTGTCGAAGTATATGTGTTGTTTAGGGTAACGCATATTGCTCCAACCCTTGCACAGGCAAAGAATAGTGCAATGTATTTTTCGCAGTTTCCACTCATGATACCTATTCTATCCCGTGGTCTTACACCTTCTTTCAACAATGCTCTTGCGAGCAGGCTCGACTCTTCCCATAGCTTTTGGTAGGTCCAGCGTGCGCCAGTCCATGGTATGACGACAGCTTCATTGTTGGGGTAGCATAAAGCTTGCTTTTGGAGTAGTTGAGAGAGGGTTAGTTGAAGGAGTGGTGGATCCAGAGGCCCTGTGACAAGGGAAAGATTTGGGTATGGTGGGAGAACATAGGGGTCGATCTGTAGGAGTGTTTGGTTGAGACGTTGGAGTGCATCATGCTGAGGCTGGTCGTATATTTCCGCCATTCTGCCGCAATGTCCTTGCCAAGTCTTTCTTTAAAAAAAAAGATGATCGGAATTCACCAAACGACGGCGGCCGGTGAGTATGTCGGAAACTAAGTCTTGAAAAGTTCCCGTGACGGTGAGTTTGGATAGAAATTGAATATGATACAACAGGAAAGAAGCGGCTGTACACGATAGCCTTCCAAAGCAAGCAGACAGCTGGAGCTGCAATCTCAAAGCGCTGATTTTGGGTAAAACCGCTCACAGCAGCACTGCTGACGACTCATAGGAGAGCTTCGCCGGAGACTCGGATCTAAGAGCATCAGATAACCGGGCCATTTTGCGTGGTCTTACTGTCCGTTTTCCGGAGACACGAGGGAAATTCGCAGGTGGCAGACACGCGCACAAGGTGACGAGTCGCCATGACATGGTGGGCTTCGTCGACCCACCACTTGCAGTCCTGCTCCTTCGCGTATGTTGCACCTAGCCGGGCTAGAACATGCTCGACAAGGGCCGTGGGGTGACAGATGGATCCCTAGGTTGCAGAAAGGGTGATCGTCGGTGGCCAACATAGTGCCGTCCAGTCGAGCCGTAGCCTGAGGACGGCTAGTGACACTCCCGCCCCGGTCGCCTCGTCCGGAAGAGGCCGGACATCCATCTCATCTGATAAGATTAGTCGTGGCTCGTATTTGGTGCGGTGTCGGTGAGAGTCGTGCGTGGTGCATTGGCGCAGCAAAATTTTATCAGATCAAAAGGAACGATTTATCAGATGGAAATTGGGGGTCGTCTGGCGCGCCTTGGCGTGGAGATGCGCCGGCTGGGGACGAGGCCAAGCGGCTGGGCATGCGCTTGCGTGCGTTATCAGATCTGCCGGCCTGCCGAATCTGGGACTGTCACGTCATGGCGACACGTTGAGTAAATTTTCTCGCGGAGCAATGCACCAAGTTGAGGCAGCGAGTGGAGTGCCATGTCATTGTGTTGGCTTGCTGCAATGTCGTTACGTGTTGCAATCCACCACACTGCTGCACACCCGTTAGTCGTGGGCTACCATGCGACCCGCGAATTCACGCCATTGGGCCGCTCAGACTTGCGCGCCCGGCCCCTTTGCTTCTATACGCCAGTCGGATCAGATAAAAAAATTTGCGGTTAATTATCTGATCCTTCTGCTGCATGGGGGATGTGGTGGGCCAAGGCCTCTTCCGCCGGCACCTATTCCAATAATACAGCCATGCGCAAACTGTCTAATGCGCGGCACAGGCCGTACCCAGCGTGAGGGGAGAACGGCCATACCAAGGAACACGTGAGTGTGCGGTAATTATGAAGACATGCACAGATGACTGGTCAGGATGTCAAATAAATCGTATTGCGGTGTATAGTGACTGCCGAAGCTATCGGGAGGTATGGAATGAGAACGCTGCGTAGTAAATTACAATTTGGCGAGTGCGTCAAGGCTTGGCCTGACTTTTTTCTCTCCATCCCATTTGAAGGGGCTGAGAGTGAAGAACTTCTCACGGTTGACCATCATGAGTGCACTTCTCTTGTGCGGGAGGTCCATGAGCTTTTCGACGTGAAATCCATGGGCAAAGTCGTAGGCTAATACCGTGCTGCTTGTTGCTGCTGGCTCCCCGACCAGGTTCCATGTGCGCGGCTCGTCCAGGAACATATAGTGCATAAGACCCGACCACCAGGCCGAGACACGGTACGGTCCTCTGAATCTCACATCGCCGACCAGGGAGTGCCGTCCACGATCGTACGGCGACGACTGGTAATGGGCACCCATATGGTCCTCCTGCGCCCGGATTAGTACGTGTCTACACAACGCCAAGGCAGAAAATAACGTACCATTGCCCAATAGACTTCAAAGTACGCGAATAGAATGTCGTCAAACGCAGCAAACATTGTAAGCACGTGGGGATCTTCATGCAGCTTTCGAAGATACTCGCGGTGTTGGTCAAGGGTTCCCGTTTCATTCCAGCCAGCAGCAACCCGTGGGTCATTTTGCCACTTGTTGAATAACCGAAGATGCTCGTCGTTAGTGTAGTCGAGAGCTACCATGGTGAAATGCTCCTTCAAATGCGGTATCCATCGACTGTAGATGATGGACCCTGGTTCCGGCTTTGGCTCCCGCACCGGATGCATCGTGTGCCGCGGCACGGCTGGAAATTGAGTCGATGGTGCATTTTGGAATGGGAAGGGAGGATAATGTCTGCTGGCTGGCTTGCCGGAGGCATCGAGATGTGGGGCCCAGACTGGTCGACTTCCAAATGGACATGCAGCACCCTGCCAAAACGTGCCTCGCAAAAGAAGATGGCCGTCTTGAGGGGCATCTGCTCGTGACGGCTGGGGATGTGGGTGAAATAGGCCAGTGACATACAAATCACGAGCCAGGGACTGCGAGTCCTTGCCAGCGAGAACGACGCGGAAGTTTTCGACTAGAGGATGCAGCGAGACCAACGCATAAGCGATAAGCCAAAGCTGTGGAACCGTCGGTCGATCGCCCTCCCAAGTAACAGCAACATGGGGCGATCTTCGAGCGCGCGCCCAAGAACTGTTGTCACCTAGTGGTGGTACTGTGTCGTGGCTCGGTGAACTGATATCACTGAATGAGACGGTTTCGCTGTGCAATACAACCGGCGGGCTAACTTCCTTGCCCGTGGAATTTTCTGGGGAGAGCCTAATATTGTAACTGTTAGGCTTGCCCGCAGGGGCAACATTGGTGATGGCATAGGCGGTAAGATATGGATGAGGGAGCTTGAGAAGAAACGGCTCACTGGCCGTGGCTGGCTTGTTGTGATGTGCCATTTCTCAAGAGTGAATAATTCTGCAGCCCGGGTAATGGCGGCAGTCGATTGTATAAATGGCGCTCTGGTGCGGCGAGATGACGCTGAAGGTATTCGAGATGAATACGACGGTGTCCAACGGATGTTTAACCGAGGTTGTCCCCTGACATCTGGGCCAGCTTAGACCACGGAATACGCAGACTTAGATGGATTCGTTACCCGTCCGTAGGCAAGCTACGCTAAGAATTACGTGGGCTGGTGGTAGCACGAAGAAAGTTCCTAGTGTATGGCTGATCGCACCATGTGGACCTTGGTGTGGCACCCTCAATCCATGCAGGCTGTCGTATGTCGTATGTGGCCCGCATGACCCGCGTCGTGTGGCGCACACATGCCGGCCACGCTAGGTCTCGGTGACATCGTTACTTAGCATGCATGTCGGTCGACCTGACTGTTGCTGGCCAATGCGCGGACCTTTTCGTTTTGTGTCTGAATTATGCAGTGTTGCTGGTGTGATGTGAATTTAAGCGCTAGTGCTATATCACGGTTTCAAGCGTACCATTTGAATGCAACAGTAGTCAATTTCTCCTCTCAGTCCATTGTCCTTCATCTAAGATGAATTCAACCACAGAGTCAAACAGCACCATGGATACGGCACCAATCTCAGCGACAACTGGTTACGACCTCGTCTGCATTGGCTTCGGTGCAGCACAACTAGCAACAGCCATTGCGAATCATGAATCCCGGAAACCATTGAAAGTACTGTTCATCGAGAAGAAGCCATCGTTTTCTTGGGGCTCAAATTCGAATTTGTCGCGGACACGAATGGAAACGCCGTTCATGTACGACCTGGCAACGCTTCGAAACCCGAGGACCGCCTTCAGTTACGTCAACTACTTGCTGAACCGCAGGCGTCTGATCGAGTTTGCAAACTCAGATCGCCTCAATCCTTTGAGAGAGGAATTTGTCGACTACATGAAGTGGTGTGCTGAGCACTTCAAGGACGAGGTGCGCTACAGTAGCGAAGTCGTTGGAGTAGCCCCAGAAGCCGAAAGAGACGTCGTGCAGGGTTGGAAGGTCGCCATCAAAGATAACACTGGAAAGACGTGGGTGGTGCGAGCAAGAAGCGTCGTTGCGCCATCTCCAGCAAGAACGAGTGGGCCTGGCGCACCACCATTGCCAGCTACAGATTTCCTAGCTGGTCAGCGCATCATTCCCATGGACGACTATCCTGCACGAAGGAACGAGCTACGAGGTCCCCACGAGCCACGGCTGAACGTATCGGTCGTCGGCTCGGGCGAGAAGACGGTGGAAGTTTTGGACGATCTGCTATCCTGCCCTCGCCTGGGCAACGTCACAGTGGTGACGGAAAATGCTTCGCTTGCACCATTGACGGTGCTAGACAATGCAAAGCCACCACAATCTCAGCTGTGCTCCCTCTGGGGGAAGCCGACAAGTTGCCAAATCGCACCTGTTACGAACGCACCAGAGCTCGTCCAGACCATCTACATGCGTGCGTATGAGAAGCAGGTGCAGTCCAAGGGCGAGTTCAGACTGCGAGTCATTATCGGAAAAGACGCGTCTGCCGCGTGCTCGGGTTCCGACTTCATCATCCGGGATACAGCGTCAAGTCCCCTGTCCAACAATGTATTGTTCCAGAGCATAGACACGCTGATCCTGGGCTGTCGGCCGAAGGGAGAGAGTCTGGAAGAGGTGCAATTCAAGCGCGGCGCAACTGCAGAAAGCTGTCAGCTGTGGCTGGTGTCATCCAGGTCAGAGGGTGGGCGGACGCTGGCCAAGGATATTGCATTAATGGCGGGAGAAATTGTGCGCAAGGCGTCCACAGTGACAGAGTCGCAGGAGGCAGGCAATGGAACAGCGTCGGCCCAGATGCAGGCAAGGATGTAGGATAGAGAGGCGACGAGGGGCGACGAGGGGCGACGTTGGCTGGCGTCGGTCCAAAAACGGTGTAGCGCTAGCGAAATTTTTATCTGATCAAAGTAATCTACCCACATCCGGTGCACGGACCGTCTCCGATTATCGCCCATGGCCTGCCAAGTGCCTCGTCCTTCTCCACTCATACACCTCAGCCCACATTGGCACTATGCATTCGCCTTCACGTGATGCCGTTCCCACTGAACACGATGCGAGCCATTTCCAACCGCGCGGTGTCGATCCCGGCCCTCGCCCCCGAGGGGCCACGGCGCCCATCTGCCCTTATGCGAGTCTCCTCGCTCAGCTTCATGAGGGCACACGGCGACAGACACCTCCTTGTTAGCCGCTGAACATTCTTTGTATGTCCGATGCCCATCAGAATGCCCTCGCGGGCCTCCATTAAGCCCTTTTTCGGCTTCCTCCACCTTCTCTTTTACGCAGACCCGACATGGCTCGACAAGATACTCGTCCTCGTTGGCGCCATAGCTGCCATAGCTGCAGGCGTACCCTTTCCGCTCATTGGAATTGTCTTTGGGCAGCTGGTCGACGAAATCAACACAGCAACGTGCGACAACCGGGCCGGCAATCACACGGGATCTGAGCGATCTATCACTCCCAAGATTCTCTTACTGGTCTATATTGCTATTGGTAGCTTTGTCTGCATCTACACGCATCTGGTATGCTGGAACTTGGCATCCCAAAGACTAGCTCAGCGTGTGCGGGATCGCTACCTTCGAAATCTCCTGCGACAGGATATGGCCTTCTTTGACAATCTTCAAGCCGGTGAAGTGTCCTCCCGTCTCAATGGTGATATCCAGGCAATTGAGAGTGGCACTGGTGAAAAGGTCGGCGTTGCTCTGACATGTGTATCCTTTTGTATCACTGCATACATTGTTGGTTTCATCAAGAATGCAGCGATAGCCGGTATGCTCGTTTCTCTGATCCCTGCATTCCTGCTCATGGCGACGATCGGTGGATACTTTGTGGGAAAGTACAGCGCCAAGATGGGCGAATCCTTTGCATCTGCCAGTGCCATCGCCTCTGAAGCCCTCAATCACGTGGGTCTCGTTCATGCCCTGGGGGCCAGCACCAGACTTGAAGAAAGGTTCAAAGGGCATCTTGAGAATGCCCGCGAACAAGGCATCAAGAAATCCACGGTTGCTGCAATTCAGGCTGGACTCCTATATTTCATCGCCTTCTCATCCAGCGCGCTTGGATACTGGCAGGGTAGTCGCAGAGTCGCAGATTCTCTCGAGGGCAAAGGTAATGCGACCATTGGAGAGATTTATACGGTCACATTTATTCTTCTGGACGGCGCTATCGTTCTGAGCCAGATCGCACCCATGCTGCCACTTTTTGGAGGAGCAATTGCTGCATTCGGACGCTTGCGAAAAGATATTGAAACTCAGCCTACCATTGATAATACTTCGACTGCTGCTGAGAAGCTCACTAATGTCAACGGAGCCATCGAGTTCCGCAACGTAGCCTTCACGTACTCATCCAGACCTGATCACCCTGTGCTAAACGGCATTTCATTGGAGTGCGAAGCTGGTATGTACTCTTTTTCTATTAACAAATTGCATGCACCCACCCATGACGCGGTGTACTATCAAGATCATCCAACCTTTCCGAGTAAAACGCGCCACACAAGCTGTTCTCGACACAGTCTCATGATTTCAATAATGTAGTTATATACTGACTAAACGGCTTCTGCAGGTAAATTGACCGCAATCGTCGGTCTTTCCGGAAGCGGAAAGTCGACGGTGGCGAGCTTGATCAGCCGGTTCTACGATCCTGACTCTGGGGAAGTGCTCCTTGATGGCCGCAATATCAAAGACATCAACATTCGAAACCTTCGAGGCTTCATTAGTCTCGTGCAACAAGAACCATCCCTCTTAGACCGTTCTATTCTCGAGAACATTGCTCTCGGTTTAGTCAATTCTCCGCCTCATGCTCATCTGGAGGAGACTCTACTGAGTGGAATCCTCGCCAATGTCGCCGAGGATGTACGAAATGGAAGTCAACTCAGTGAAGCTGCAGAAAAAGCTGGTACAAAGGTATGGTACATCTGTAGACACTCTACTGTTGATAAACACCGCGCTAACAAGGGCACTTTCAGATTGTGGAGATTGTCAAACTGGTGCAGCACGCTGCAGATCTTGCTGATGTCGCCATCTTTATCGATCGCCTGGAGTTTGGGTTCGCAACCCCTGTGGGTTCCAGCGGAAGTCTTATTAGTGGGGGACAAAAGCAACGTATCGCCCTTGCTCGAGCTCTTGTCCGTGACCCTAGGATCCTTATTCTAGACGAGGCTACCGCAGCCCTGGACTCTGCGAGTGAACAACGTATCCAGACTGCCATTGAACGCGCTTCTCAGGGTCGGACTGTCATCTCAATCGCCCATCGACTATCCACCATCAGAGCTGCCTCTAAAATCATTGTCATGAAAAAGGGCGACATCTTGGAACAAGGCACTCACGACCAACTCATGGAACTGAATGGATCATATGCGGACATGGTTCACCTCCAGACAGTCAAGACAGAAGACGGCCCGTCCAGCTCCCGGGCCAGTTTGGAATCGCACGATGTTGATAGCCTCTCGGATGAGAAGCAAATGATGAAGGCACAAGAAGCCAGTACCGTGCCTGGAAACGACGTGTCCACACCCGAGCCTGCTGAGCCGACCAAAGGTGCTGTGATTGCTGGCTCCATCACCAAAACAATGCTTCCTTTAACTCGCCCATATTTGCTCATCATATTGTTGGCATTCTTTGCGGCCTTAATTGTTGGCGGGCAATATTGTGGCTCTGGTCTTCTATTTGGTAATGTCATGGGCCTCATGTCTCCTTGCAACAAGCCAGATTACATCCGGTCACGAGGCGAACTGCTTTCCGGGCTTTGGTTTATGCTAGCCTGCATCGCATTCCTAGCAAACTTTACAAGTTGGGCATCGTTTGGACTTCTTTCGGAACGACTTATCTTCAAAGTTCGCAACTTGTCGCTACAGGCACTACTTCGCCAGCCTCTGCAGTGGCATGAATCTGAGGCGAGGAGCCCATCCATGCTACTCGAGTTCATTACCAAGGATGGTAATTCACTAGCAGGCTTCAGCGGTTCCATTGTAGGGACTTTGTTTTCTGTTATTGTAAATTTTGTGGCCGCCATCGTTCTCTCTCACATCGTCGCATGGCGGATTGCGATCGTATGTCTTGTCATAGTGCCAATACTCCTGGGTGCTGGCTACATGCAGCTTCGCGCAATTGGGCGTTTTGCCGTCAAGCATGCTGGGGCTTTTTCGTCTTCTATCGGAGTTACAATCGAAGCCGTCTCGAACATCAAAACGGTGCACGCTCTCTCCGTCGAGGATGAGATCATAGAGACGTACCGAAGATCACTCAAAGCCCCGAGGAAGGAAATGATACAACAGAGCTTCAAGACTAACGTCTGGTTGGCTGTCGCCAACTCTTGCGGCAGCTTCATCTACGCCTTTGCTTACTGGTGGGGCTCGAAGAACATTGTGGAAGGGAGGTACACTCAGACGCAGTTCTTTATTATCCTCATTTCAATGCTGGTTTCTGCGCAGCTCTGGGGTCAATTGTTCACGCTCGCCCCTGAAATATCCAAGGCCAAAGGCGCTATAGCGCGCATATGCGGGCTCATTGAGCTGGGAAAGGATGCAGATCCTACATCTGACCCCAACTTGGAGGTGAAAGGGGGTGACATCGAGGCGATAGCCGAGTCCACTTCATCAACATCAACCCAAGGGGGTGCGAGAGTTGTGTTCCGAGACGTTGGCTTCTCCTACCCAGCCCGTCCCGGCGTTCCTGTCTTAACATCATTGTCACTCTCTATACAACCTGGTCAATTCTGCGCCCTGGTAGGCCCCTCTGGCGCTGGGAAGAGCACAGTGCTGGCTTTGTTGGAACGACTCTATTTGCCATCTACAGGCAGCATTTTCATCAATGGAGTAGACATCTCACGTCAGCATGGCGCATCTTTCCGGGATGATATTGCTTATGTTCCACAAGAGAACATACTGTTCCAAGGAAGCATCAAGTTCAACATTGCGTTAGGAGCAAAGCCGGGGTACACGCCATCAGATGAAGAGATACATGAAGCCTGCAAGTTGGCAAACATTCACGGCACCATCATGGAGCTTCCTCAAGGATACGATACCGAGTGCGGCTCCAGTGGCAATCAACTTTCTGGAGGGCAACGCCAACGCCTCTCCATCGCCCGAGCTCTTGTACGCAAGCCGAAATTACTTCTCTTGGACGAGAGTACGAGCGCGCTTGATGCAGAAAGTGAAAAGGCACTGGAACTTGGCCTTGAACGCGCTGTCAAGGGTCATGGAGTCACTGTTATTGCCATTGCACATCGGCTGAGAACGATTGCGAGAGCAGATGTCATATTCCTTGTTGAAGCAGGTAAAGTAGTAGACCAAGGAAGACACGATGAGCTTGTTCAGCGGAGCGAGAGTTATCGTGTCAATGCTCTTCATCAAATGTTGGGATGAGCGCTATGCAACAAAATATCTTTTACATGTAATTAATCCAATGCCAATTCTACAGCTTCTGGTAACATCTTTTCTCCACCTTCGGGGAGCCACACAAACAGAGGAAGTTCGTCGTCTGATTTCGCATCATCGCCATTCACTGGCCGGTCGGTGTTGGTCACGCGCCTCAGAGTCTCTTTCAACCTCTTACAGCCTACTTTTTCGTAAAACTTGATTCCCTCTTTCGAGCTCTCAACATAGACTGGCAAGCCAGTCTGCCGAGAGATGGTGGTTCCATAGTCGAAAATCAACTGGCCGACGCCTTTTCGCTGAAAGTCGGGATGGACCGCCATGACATGAGCATAGATGTACTTTTCGTTCATCCAAAGCTTCTCTCTCGCTTCCCAAAGAGGGCTGATGAGTGCCTCGGCTTGTTCACGCTCTTTTCCTTGCAGCCAGGAGAGTTCGCCACGTTTCCAGTCGCTGGGCGTAATGTATACGTCGAAAAGGGCCATTCCAACTATTCTGTTGGTCTCGGTGTCGACACATTTCAGAGTGTACTGCGTCTGACTTGTTTTCGACCAATCCACCACATGAGCCGTATGTCCCTTTCTTTGACAAAATCAGCCCATTTTCGGGGATAACCTTGAATAGGAATGTAAAAGGAAAATTACGCAGGATTGAAGCACATACCGGAACTCAGAATTGGGATCGGTGAGATCAGCCTCTGTGGCTGACGGGAACAATGCACGTGTGACTGCATTATTCTTGAAGGCTGCAAAGTACACATCGTACACAGCACTGACATCGGGTGTCAGGGCCGGAAGTACTACAAAGCCCATGACTGAGAGATTTCAAGGCTCGCAGATGTCAATCACAGAAGGGACGGGAGATGTTCTAGACCAGATTGTCTTCTAGGAAAGATTGGAATGTATGGTGAGACCAGTAAAATCTGACAGCCGCTGTGAATACTAGTCGTAGGAATGCACCATCACTGTCACAATGGCATTAACCACCGACAAAAGCTAAACGGTGTGCAACAAATGCCGAGGCGCAGGGCTCATTGATCTTCGTCAAAAATGTTGAGCTCGCCAGTTTGTGGTGGGATCACGCACCCTGTTTGCATGCTTAATTTGCCGGTCACAGGAACGATCGTCTCTTTGGTTACACCTACACTGCAAATCGCGCACAACTAGCGTGGCATTAAGCCGTCCGGTTAAGTCAAAAGAGAATCTTGTGCCGCGACCAAAGGACATGCAGTCCCCACCATACACGGTCCTACCAGCTTGCTATGGCCCCCCATCAAAGTTATTTGATCCGCTCTAAGCGAAGCCCTTGCGCCAAACGCACCAGGCCTGGAACCTCGTGGCCGCGGGTAGCTGTAGCATAAAAGTTCTAGCATAAAGCAGACCAAGACAGATGGTTTCATATGGCCAAGAGACTGGATTAGCGCTGAGAAGGGTGATGCTGATTAAGGAAGTTGAAAGACTAGTAGAAGCATTGGCATGGTATGGCACGTTCTTCCTAAGATTTCCGAAAGGCTCGGCATATATTCCCCCACAGCCATGCAGCATATCCTCGGGTAGTGCATAAAGTAGTCATGGATCAGCAGCGAAGACAGGCTTGTCGGGTGTGATTGGCAGCGTCCACGATTCCGAATGTCGGCCGTTATCAGATGGAAAAAGATGTGCAGCCCTGGCGACGTAACCCTGCATACGCCTTGCCCAAAGCGGCGATTTCGTCCGTGCATAGCGCCATCAAATTTATCAGATGGAAGCCCATGACGCCACCCAATTCCGGCGCTAAGATTATCTGATCCGCTAAATGTGGGGGCGAGAATCCATGGCGACAGGGGCTTTTATTACGCCTAAACCTCGATATTTTGCTGCTTTGGTCAACCGCTCCTGGGCCACTTACGTTACCGCATGAGCAATGCTTCCGACTCCAGGTATTCGCCGCTGCGGAGGAGCAGAGCCTACCTTGCCCCCCCGCCCGGTGTCATATGCGAAGCCAGTGACGCCGACAGGCGTCCGACCAAGACAGCACGGTAGACATGTTTGCATGTGTCACAGCTTTACCTGGCCATGGAGTATGTGGAGAGCTAGGTCCAACTTCGGGATGACATTCGAGTAGAAAATATGCCTGAGTGCGCGTCCTCGTGATGCCTGGTCCCATTTACCACACCAAAAGAGCCATTTCCGAGTCGTGCGTACGAGTCAAACATTTCCGTACAAGCTCCCTCCCCCTCCGACATTCGGGGGCACATTTATACCTACTCCGAGCATGAAGAGACCGCATTCCAGCTTGGATAGCAATATGCATCTACCCAACGGCAGAGAGCACACGGTGCGCTTCGGCGCGCTTCCCGATGAACATGTTGCAAAGAAGGTGCAGAGCAGCAGTGCTCTCGACAGCCAACACCACGACGGAGCTGAGAAAACAAATGGAAGTGTTTCCAAACCAAACGAGGCCCGGATACTGCTACCCAATGGCTCGGACCGGGACTCGGTGCTGGACACCGTTCTAGCGGCTTGGGCAATCCTCATTCACCGCTACCAACGGGATGTCTTTCACCAATTCACATGGGGGATCAAAGACCAGGGCAACGATAGCACACAGTGCATATCTATCACTGAGATTGATTGGGCAAGTCAACAGACAGCTGCTAGTCTGCAAGCCAAGATCAGCAGTGTCAAGTCATCCCAGTTCAAGCTGGGTGAGGACACTACCATTTTCCTCAATGATGGCATTAATGAAGAGGTAATACTCAAACTGAGCATATAAATCTTGAGCACATGACTGACAATACACAGTGGACATTCCAAGTCACGCTCAATCTGCAGCAGGATACACTACACGCCACCTCAACATGGCAAACTACAGCCATGGCTCGGCACCAAGCAGTGTCACAGCTGCACTTTTTCGCTTCAATCCTAGATACCCTTTTCCAAGATATTGACCATTCACTTTCCACATTCCGCACCGTCTCAGAAGACGAGCTGGACGAGCTGTGGAGCTGGAACACACCGCTGCAGCCCGAGCTTCGATTCTGCATGCACGAAAAAGTGTCGGAGCAAGCTGCGCTGAATCCAAACAAAATCGCCATCGATGCCTGGGACGGCACCTTGACGTATCAGCAAGTGGAAGATTATTCTACCAAGTTAGCGCAGCTGTTGCGACTGCTGGACGACTCGCCAGACCGCATTATTCCAGTGCTATTCGAAAAGTCCAGATGGACATCGGTAGCAGTGCTCGCAATCATGAAAGCCGGTGCTTGCTTTGCACTGCTCGACCCAGCACAGCCTGAAGGCCGCTTACGAGCCGTGGTGCAGCAAGTCAATGCAAAGCTCTTCATCTCCTCCACAGCCCAATCCACGCTCGCAACACGCGTGGCGCCCGCCGCAACCATCATCCCTATTTCCGAATCAAAGTTTGCAAAGATCTATGAGCCGTACGCGGCTGAGCAACCTAATACTACGCTTCCTTCCGTCTCCCCGGACCAGCCGCTGTATATCCAGTTTACCAGTGGCAGCACGGGTATTCCTAAGGGATGTATCCTTACGCACAGCCAGTATACGTCTGGAGCGATACCACGCGCAGCGGCTGTGGGCTACCATCCACATTCTCGGGTGCTCGACTTTGCAAGCTACGCTTTTGATGTGTGCATCGACTCGATGCTGTGCACGCTTGCCCATGGCGCTACGCTTTGCACGCCTTCTGACGAGAGGCGTATGAACGACATGAGTGGCGCCATGCGCGACATACGCGTTACCTTTGCCGGCATGACACCTTCAGTCGCTCGGACTCTGGATGTGGATATCCTGGACCACCTCGAGTCGATTGCTCTTGGTGGCGAGGGCGTCTCAACAAGTGACGCCATGTCCTGGGGTCAGAGGACAAGAGTCGTAAACGCATACGGTCCCTCCGAGGCTACAGTTGGTGCTACCATTAACGACAACGTAGCCGCAAAACCCTACATCACCATGGGAAAGCGGAAGGGCTGTGCGATATGGCTTACAGATCCTGAAAACCACAATAAGCTGGTTCCTGTTGGTGCCGTGGGCGAGCTCCTCATCGAAGGCCCCATCGTTGGTAACGGGTACCTGAACAACCCGGCCAAGACGAAAGAAGTCTTCATCGAAGACCCCGAGTTCTTGCTCAAAGGAAGCAAGCGTTATCCCGGTCGGCATGGACGCATCTACAAGACTGGTGACTTGGTCCGTTTCGACCCCGATGGCGATGGCGAGCCCATTTTCGTTGGGCGGCAGGACCAGCAGATCAAACTGCGTGGACAGCGTATCGAGCTGGCTGAGATTGAGTTCAACATGCAGAAGCATCTGCCTGCGGACACTCAGCTAGCGGCTGAAGTCATCAAGCCGAGCGGTGGCGGCGAGCAGACATTAGTCGCCTTCATTGTCGAGCAGAAGAAGAATGGCATGCGACACCTTGACGGTAACATCTTCGGTAGCTTCACAAACAAGTTCCAGAGCGCCCTCAAGGACATGACCAAGCAGCTCTTCGTTGATCTACCGAGCTACATGATTCCCAGCGCCTACATACCGCTCTGGAAGATGCCTCTGCTTGTCTCGTGCAAGACGGATCGGAAGCGTCTGCGCGAGATTGGTGCCTCGGTCACGCGTCAAGATCTACGGCGCTTCAACTCTGCTGTCTCGGAGAAGAAGGAAATTTCCACCGAAATGGAGCTCAAGCTGCAGTCGCTCTGGGCAAAGCTGCTCGGTGGAGAAGCGGACTTTAGTGCCAACGACAACTTCTTCAGCATGGGCGGCGACTCTCTGAAAGCTATGAGACTGGTGGCTGCTGCGAGAGAAGAGGGTTTGGTGCTGAGTGTCCCAGACATTATGCTCAACCCAACGCTATCTGCCATGGCGGAAAAGGCCAAGCCAGTTTCAGCAGATGACACGAACGAAGTCGCTGCCTTCTCGATGATCGGAGAAGACTGGAGTGCTGAGGCCGCGAGGGAAGAGAGCGCCAGACTTTGCGGTGTCGACGCTGCAAACGTAGAGGATATGTATCCTTGCACGCCACTCCAGGAAGGTCTCATTGCTCTCTCGGCCAAGTTCCAAGATGCATACGTCGCGCAGCGTGTTGCGACGCTGCCATCTGAAATTGCCCTGCGCCTGAAGCAGGCCTTCGACACGGCTGTGCAGGGCTCGCCGGTGCTGCGAACGAGGATCGTCAACGTCTCTGGTCGGGGCTTGTTCCAGGTTGTGCTCAAGGACGGACAACTGGTACGTGAGCATGGCGCTGACACGGCCGAGTACCTCAGACAGGATCGCAAAGAGCCCATGGATCTCGGCACGGCTCTGTTCCGTTACGGTCTGGTCAAGGAAACGGGAAGCGGCAAGGCAAGCTTCATCATCACGATGCATCACGCAATCTATGATGGATGGTCGATGCCTCTGGTGTTTGACCACGTCAATCGCGCATTCAATGGTCTTCATACGGAGCGGCCTGCGTCCTTTAAGCATTTCATCAAGCACCTGATCAGCCTTGACCCGGCCGATGCCCAGCAGTACTGGAAAGGCCGCTTGGACGGCGTGAGTCCTCACCAGTTCCCTCCACTGCCGCACAAAGGCTACACTACCCAAGCCGACTCGCTGCTCGAGCACTACGTCACTGTGCCCACATCAGCACACTCCAAGCTCACCCTCGCGACCATCATCCGCGGCGCATGGGCTCTCGTATCGTCACTATATATGGGTCATGTGGATATTGTCTTCGGTGAGACACTCACGGGTCGCTCAGCGCCCGTCCATGGCATTGAGCAAATTGAGGGCCCAATGATCACCACGGTGCCCATCCGCGTCCGCCTTGGTCTCGATCGTCCCATTGCCGAGTACCTGCAATCCGTGCATGCTCAGACGGTTCAGCAGATTCCCCACGAGCACCTGGGTCTCCAGAATATCCGCCGCCTGAGCAAGGCCGCACGGGTCGCGTGTGATCTTCGCACGGGTCTTGTGTTGCATCCTAAGGAAGACGAGGACTGGGGCCAGGTCGACATGGAGAATACGCCTGCAAACACGTTTCTTCCGGCCGACGATGCAGAGGCAGCTCGCGAGGCACTCAAGTTCAATACCTACGCGCTCATGCTTGTCTGCACGCTGGATGAGAACGGCTTCTTGATCATGGCTAGCTTTGACTCAAAGTGCATTGGCAAGGAAGTAATGGAGAGGGTGCTCGCCGTGCTCGACCGCATCGTGCACGCGTTCCTGGGTAACCCAGAGAGCAAGCTAGGTGATGTAGCTGTCCTGGACCCAGAGGAGACGCAGGATGCAGAGGCCATGAGGCCAAGGGATATCATGAGTGATAGCGGTGTGGGCATGTCGCCAGTCGATGGCTTCGAGCATGCAGAAGCTAGCACCAAGGCGCTATCGCCCAACGAGCAGAAACTGCAAAGCATCCTCAGTCGCATCCTGGGTATGAAGGAAACCGATATCAAGCCGAGTGATAGCTTCTTCGAGCTGGGTGGAGATTCCATTGGTGCCATGCGTCTCGTGTCTGACGCCCGCGCCCAAGGCCTCAATTTCACCGTTGCTCAAGTCTTCCAAAGCCGTTCCCTGTCCGACCTGGCTGCTTTGGCGAGCAACGAAAAAGAAGAGAAGCTGACTGAAATCCTCGGGCGAATACTCGGTATGGCAAAGAACGACATCAAGAGCAGCGACAGCTTCTTTGAACTCGGAGGTGACTCGATTGGCGCCATGAGACTGGTCTCGGATGCTCGTGCCCAGGGTCTCAACATTACGGTCGCCCAGGTATTCCAGAGTCAGTCGCTCGCTGAACTTGCTTCTGCTGCTGGGCAGGCGACTCCCTCACAGCCCCAGACCGACATTGATGCGCCATTCGCCGCGTTTGGCAAGGACGCTCCGCTATACAGCCCCGATCGCATTGGCCCGTACCTTGAAAACCAAGAGTGGCAGATTGTGAACATTTACCCTACAAGGCCACTGCAGCAGCTCGCAGTCGAGGGTACTGTCGACCTTCCACGGTACTCGCTCCGTTATGAACTGATCAAGTTTGCGACTCCGATCGACCGTCTGAAGCTTGAGCAAGCATGCCAGGAGCTTGTGGCCCGTAATGAGGTGTTGCGTACCGTTTTCGTCAAAGACGACGAGATGATTCTGGGCGTAGTACTCTCGTCGCTGCGGGTGCCTTACGCCGAGATTGCTGTGCCGGAGGGTGAGGACGTCAACGCGTTTGCTCAAGCAAATGTCCGGGAGGATATCGAAGCCCCCAAGCCGTACGGATCCTCTTTCGTGTCATTTACTCTCTTCACCAGTCCCAGCGGTGCTTCAACCCTCGCATTCCGCATCTCGCACGCCCAGTACGATGAGATGTGCCTGCCCATACTATTTGAGCAGCTCGCAGCCCTCCACGCGGGTAATCCAGTCCCCGAAACGATTCCCTTTAGCAAACACGTCAACCATGTCGTCCTCGACAATATGCCCAAGGCAATCCCCTACTGGCAGAAGCTCCTCTCCGGCTCCAGTATGACGGTCCTGAAACCCGACATTCCACTTACGCACCGCGGCCCAGCAGACAGGTACCGGGAATTCGACATTTCGTCGCGCCCATCCAACATCACCATCGGGTCTCTGCCGACGGCGGCGTGGGCGCTTGTCCTAGCACGACGCCTCGGCCTCTCCGACGTTGTCTTTGGCGAAGTCGTGTCCGGTCGCAACATTGGCGCGCCGCAGGCCGACCGCATCTTCGGCCCAACGTGGCAGTATGTCCCCTTTCGTGTACCCTTTTCCCGCTCATGGACCTACCGCGAGCTGCTCGACTATGTGCAGGACCAGCACATATCGTCAGCGGCGTACGAATCTATGGGATTCACAGAGATTGTGGAGAAGTGTACGGAGTGGGATCAAGATCAGGTCAAGTGGTTCGACACGGTGGTGCACCAGGCGCCGGCTTGGGTCGAGGAGTTGCCTTTTTCAGAGGACGTAGAGGCCCGGTTCGAGACGCTGTATCCGCATGGTGAGCCGCTGAGGGAATGGAAGTGCCAGGCGTTTGTGAAAGAAGGGGGCAAGAAACTGGGCATTGAGATTGTGACGTTTGAGGAGTGGATTGGAGTTGCGGATGAAGTGTTGGAAGAAGTTGGACAGGCGCTAGCGTGCTTGATGGAAGGAAGTGTGGAAGAGAGGATCTTTGAGGGCAAAATGTAGATTACAGATGGCGGGTTCAAAAAAAAAGTAACTGGGTGGCTTGGGCAGTGTTTTCTGTATGTACGTTACTGTAGTTTTATGCATCTCTTTGCTTTCATCATTGAAGCTCGCGTGGGCGTGATCGCATTGTTGGTCGAGTGTGTCTTCCGTGGACCTGTTACACTGGTCACAGAGACGATACGTCGTCAATCTATATAGAAACCTTGATTCTTCATTGCATATGTTCTCAAGCCGAAAGACTTGGGCCCATGTGATATTATCCAAAAGCCGGCGTGATGTCGACTCCAAGCTTTTCATCGTCCTGTTCAACGTCATCGCTCTCCCGTCCGTGTTTTGCAAGGATCCGACGGCGAAAGTGCAAACCGTATCCAGTATACGATTCACATGTGCCGGAATACGATGATTTGGGAAATGATTATCCGTGCGGTTCATAGAGCGTGGCGCAGCATGTGCTTGTTGAATGGTAGTGTGACGAAGGGTGTCTGTCAATAGCACTGGGATGTTATGCTATGAACTCGGAGGGCGGAAGAGAGAAGATGCGGCGACGAGCTAGACATTGTACTATTGTCTTTTTACCAGTTGACTGGAGACTGGTGATCCCATACGCGGTGATGCGACATGAGCCCCTGAGCTTCGTGTTTCGGCGGTTTATTTCGACGCTACCGCAGTGGCAGTGTCTTCGTCAGCGCACATCACACCGTTTTCCATGTCAAAATATCTGTACATCCAAGAACTCGTTGCAACGTCGACATGAAGTTCCGATGGTGCATACCGGTTCGCATTACTGTAGGTGTAGCTGCAGCCACTCGTGTCTCCAAAAACCGACGACAATCCAGATACTAGACCCGGCTCGATTTGCACACAATGCAGTTTGAAATGTGATACAGCCGAAAATTCTGCCCTGGCAAGATAGTTTGGAGGAAAATTACGTGGCTCACTCTCGGCGAGCCTTTCTCATTAGTGCTTAGGTAAATGCCGCACAAGACCAGTGTCTTCGGCCGTACCTGGCGGGCTGTCAGCACGGTTACTCGGCACGTTATACTAAGAATAGCCAAGTGTTGAATCCCAGACATACGTAACTCGATATCTGCTGTCGTGATCAGCTTGAGGACCATTCCCTTTCGCGGGTGTAGGCGGGTGCTACACCCCACAATCAAGTGTGCCGTCTTTTCCGACGCATGGAACTCGGCATTTGTGTGCATCAACGGGAGGACCGCTTCGCGTATCGGTGTCAGCACTTGGCGTAGTGCCGTGAGGGTGTGTGCTTAGACGAGTAAAAGGGCGGCTCAGAAAAAGGGCTCCATGTCGGTACCTGCAGCGCCTTGGCCATCGGAAGTCGGGGACATAGATAAATGTAGCCAAGCAGCTGAGTGCGGGCCGATATCACCTCTCAAGCCTTATCGTGATAGGCTCATTGTTGCTGGGCATTGACTGCTGCCGACTACGGAGGTGCCTCACAAAAGTTTTGTCCTGCCAAGAATAATTTAGCCGAAATCTGGCCGCTCTCCTACACAACGCCTATCTCTCCCCTCTATATACTCATTACCACCT